CCAAAGGACAAATTTCCACCGGTCTAATGTCCATTGCTCATGTTTCTTGGCCCAAGCAAGTCTCTTCTTCTCATTGGTGTCATTTAGTAGTGGTTTCTTTGCAGCAATTCGACCATGAAGGCCTGATTCACACAGTCTCCTATGAACAGTTGATGTTGAGATGTGTCTGTTACTTGAACTCTGTGAAGCATTTATTTTGGCTACAATTTCTGAGGCTGGTAACTCTAATGAACTTATCCTCTGCAGCAGATGTAACTCTGGGTCTTCCATTCCTGTGGCGGTCCTCATGAGAGCCAGTTTTATCATAGCGCTTGATGGTTTTTCCAACTGCACACATTTTCCGTATTGACTGACCTTCATGTCTTAAAGTTTGTTGTTTCTCTTTGCTTATTTGAGCTGTTCTTGCCATAATATGGGTATTTTACCAAATAGGGATATCTTCTTGCTGCATTGTTCTATTGGCAATTACTTGGATATGTCCATGATAATGACATTGATACATGATGTCAACTGGATCAAAAAAGTTGTCTCCTTGTCTGGGCATTGTTCACTGTGGTACTACAGAGAAATGTAAAAGTGAAACATTGTTTCCGGCAGACAGCGAGGCTTATATTAACCCCCGCTGTACCAATCTAAATGCTAGGCTGGAAGCAAGGGGAAATCATGTGCGAGTTGAGATAAATACAAGAGATGATTCGGACAGCAACATGAACGTGATATTCTTAAAGCCAATGTATGCCTGATCCGAAAATGTGGTCGGAGTCGCTGTATTGATGGTGTGACGCAATTGCGGAGCCTCCGAAAGCCTGCAGAGGCCAAATTGAGCTCTGCACCGCGTCGCTGTGCGCCTCTCAACATTTGTAACAATGCGAACGGCTTCATATAGCTCCGCTTTGATATGATTGGTTGACGGTAGGTCCTGTATAAACACAAACTCACTTCCTTCACAACAGCTCCTCGTCGTTCGGCGAAGCACAAGAAGTATGAATGCCCTGATTTCTGCAGAGGCCATATCACCGTAAATGCTGCACGGCGCCTTTTATGGAGGCGCAGTGATTTTTCAGAAGGACCTGTTAGCAGGCAAAGGTGTGTCTGCTCATCCAATCAGCATTCAGGATCCAAACAACCAGTTTTATAATAGTGATTCGTCTTTATAATGTATAACACTTTGCTCAAACTCACTCCAGTATGGGTGTAATCTCCCCCTATGGAAGGCAGAAAGACGCTTCACCTGTTCAGTTTATTCCCATCGTTTATTGAGATTCAAGTTTACAGAGACATAAATCATGATGATAACATAATGATCGCACATTGATCAACAGCCAGACATTGTCACCACAGCGACTGTATTGTGCAGTAAGGAAGTAGGTACAGAGTGAAGCCTTGGAAACCAACAGGAGTACGTCCAAAATGGCATCCTATCCCCTCTATAGTGAACTACTTTTGACCAGTGCGCTCTATGGGCTCACTATAGGGAATAGGGTGCTATTTGGGATGTAGCTCAGGTAGAAGAACATGAGGACTGTGTAGATATATGCAGTATATGCTTCCCAACAGAGAACAGGATTAATACTTTTATAATCATGCAGTATATGCTTCCCAACAGAGAACAGGATTAATACTTTATAATAAATGTAACAACTCAAATCATATCAATTCATACACAACATGAAGTCAATGTGCCCTTCATTTCATTTTTCCTTCATAATAAAATGGCACTTCATATTTAAAACAACTGAGCAGGACACTGTAGCAATAGGTTATAAACTGTACGAGCGAGGCAATAGTTGGTAGTTGTTGTACTGGTTATACAAGCATTATAAACTGTACAGCAACTATTTAGCCACAATTGACGTCAGTAAAGACGAGCCCCGGCAATAGAAAAGGATTGTGACTGTCCTCGGTGCAACAGGTGTGTTACGGTCCAACTAAACCTAGAGGACCTATGACCTGCATTCAACATGCTGCTCTGGAAAACATTCAGGAAGCCATGGGTGGCATTTCCCTGAAAGAAGATGAAACGCAGTAAAAAATACACCTTTTTTTTTTTTTTTTTTACATACACCTTTTGAAGACAATGATCTCAGAAAATACATTACTTTGCAACAGCCAACATACAGACTAAACAACTTTACCATCCACAAACGCTTTACCATCCACAAAAGCTTACAATGTGCACATGCAGACATTCAGATCTTTATTTTTGTTTTTATTACATCAATAATTTGATTATCAAACGTATAATAATCTACTTTGTAGATAATGAAACAGTGCAACACTGCAGTGTCAGCAACATGTACAGGTTTAAATCCAGTAGAGACCAGTAAAGACCAGTAGAGACCAGTAGAGACCAGTAGAGACCAGTAGAGACCAGTAGAGACCAGTAAAGACCAGGAGAGACCAGTAGAGACCAGTAGAGACCAGTAGAGACCAGTAAAGACCAGGAGAGACCAGTAGAGACCAGTAGAGACCAGTAAAGACCAGTAGAGACCAGTAAAGACCAGTAGAGACCAGGAGAGACCAGTAGAGACCAGTAGAGACCAGTAGAGACCAGGAGAGACCAGTAGAGACCAGTAGAGACCAGTAGAGACCAGTAGAGACCAGGAGAGACCAGTAGAGACCAGTAGAGACCAGTAGAGACCAGTAAAGACCAGGAGAGACCAGTAGAGACCAGTAGAGACCAGTAGAGACCAGTAAAGACCAGTAGAGACCAGTAAAGACCAGTAGAGACCAGGAGAGACCAGGAGAGACCAGTAGAGACCAGTAGAGACCAGTAGAGACCAGGAGAGACCAGGAGAGACCAGTAAAGACCAGTAGAGACCAGTAGAGACCAGTAAAGACCAGTAAAGACCAGTAGAGACCAGTAGAGACCAGTAGAGACCAGTAGAGACCAGTAGAGACCAGTAGAGACCAGTAGAGACCAGTAGAGACCAGTAGAGACCAGTAAAGACCAGTAAAGACCAGTAGAGACCAGTAGAGACCAGTAAAGACCAGTAGAGACCAGTAGAGACCAGTAGAGACCAGTAGAGACCAGGAGAGACCAGTAGAGACCAGTAAAGACCAGTAGAGACCAGTAGAGACCAGTAGAGACCAGTAAAGACCAGTAGAGACCAGTAGAGACCAGTAGAGACCAGTAGAGACCAGTAGAGACCAGGAGAGACCAATAAAGACCAGTAGAGACCAGTAAAGACCAGTAGAGACCAGTAAAGACCAGTAGAATCACGATGGTGGAATCAAAACGGACTGTTCCCTTTGATCGAACCCAGGCTTAGCGATATTAACATTAACCTGTTGTATACAATTATATTAAAATGTTAGCATCAGCAATACACTGGCACTGAATAAAACAACCAGTCTTCCCTTATACAAAATATCCTTCATTTTTAAAACAGCAAATATTACACAAACATTCACAGAGATAGAACCTCGCCTGTCCGCTGTTAGGGATAGTGCTCCTCACTCTACCAGAAAAGGTTGTCATAAAATGGCTGCCAGTCAGCAGTACAGGAGGAGGAGGATGGATGGGGTGGAAGTTAGCGTTCCACTGAGATGAGTTTCATTTAAAAGGCTTGTTAGAACACTCCTCAGACCCCCTCTCCCTCCCGTCCTCTTTGCCCCTCAACTCAGGCCCCCCTCTCCCCCTCTCCCCCCCTCCTCTCCTCTCCCTCCCTCCCTCCCCTGACATGCCAATCAAATCTAAATGCAGAGATTTCATAGGCTTACATCAGAACAGCCCCACCACACACAAGATTCCTTCATTTAAAATCGACAGTAATTGTCTTAACAAGAACAAATATAAAAAAAATATATATATATATTTTCTGCAGCTTACAGCGCATTGTGTTGGTCTATCGCAGACTGACTAGACGTATCACATCATGGTTTAAGCATTACATCCTTCACCTACCCTTTTACATAGTGGGATATCTACATAGTATAACATTACTTTTTTTTTTTTACATTAGAATATCAACGTAGTATACACTGAGTATACCAAACATTAGGAACACCTTCCTAATATTGAGTTACACCGCCCCCTTTTGCCCTCAGAACAGCCTCGATTCGTCGGGGCATTGACTCTACAAGGTGTCGAAAGCGTTCCACAGGGATGCTGGCCCATGTTGACTCCAATGCTTCCCACAGTTGTGTCAAGTTGGCTGGATGTCCTTTGGGTGATGGACCGTTCTTGATACACACGGGAAACTGTGGAGTATGAAAAACCCAGCAGCGTTGCAGTTGTTGACACAAACCGGTGCACCTGGCACCTACTACCATACCCTGTTCAAAGGCACTTAAGTATTTTATCTTGCCCATTCACCTTCTGAACGGCACACATACACAATCCATGTCTCAATTATCTCAAGGCTTAAAAATCCTTCTTTAACCTGTCTCCTCCCCTTCATCTATACTGATTGAAGTGGATCACAGCTTTCACCTGGATTCACCTGGTCAGTCCAAGTCATAGAAATAGCAGGTGTTCCTGTTTTGTATTAAAAAAAAATCCAGTTAAAATGTGTTTTGTTTAGTCAATAAATCCACCTACACAGATAACAGCCAATTGCTAATCCAGATAATCAGCCAAATCAGCCAATCGCTGATACATGGCATTATACAAAGTCCTTCAGCTTAAAAAGGTATGGTTTAAAAGTACATACACAGGGGATACATATGGACTAGCGTGGCTAACTGCACTGTAACATAGCTAGACCAAACCAGTCAGTCAGCCAGTCCCGCTGTGCAACACCCAGAAGCCTCTCCTCCTCCTCGTAGCAACGTTCCACCCTGAGAGGCAACGACAGAGAGCGCCACTCTAATGTTTAGCCTAAATAGCACAAGGGGGCTATGACTGGGGGCTATGACTGTGCAAACCAGTGCCTTTACTGCAACACATCTGTTGGGGTTCTCAGGGTGCTCCACAATGCTATGGGACGTGTCCCAAAAAGGCACCCTATTCCCAATATAGTGCACTACTTTAGACCCAAAGCCCGTAGAGCTCCCAAAGTAGTGCACTATATAAGGAATAGGGTGCCATTTGGGACTCCTAACACAGTATTCTCTGAACCCAGTAGAGCGTGTGTACAGTCCAGTCCGTTTCAGGTCCTTCCCTAGTAGAGAGCTGAGTCATTGTAGGAGCTGGAGGAAGGGAAGGTGGGACACGGTTTGTTCCAAGGCAGTGAGCCAGAGTAGTCTGCCGTGGGGAGGCTAAGGGTGCTGGAGCTCTTCAGGTGGCTCTTCAGGCCCCAGGAGAGGAAGGAGCCCTTCTTGGACACCTTGCGGCCCTTGGGGTTCTTGTCGTCGTCAAAGGCCAGGCAGATCATGGAGTAGGTCTTAGGGATGCCTCCGCAGTAGGTGGCACTCTTAGTGGGCTGAGGGGAGGAAGGGAGAGAGAGAGGGGAGAGAGGGAGAGAGAGAGATGAGAGCAGGAGAGGAGGGAGGGAGAGAGATGAGGGAGAGAGGGGGAGATGAGAGAGAGAGGGGGAGGGAGGGAGGGAGGGAGGGAGATGAGAGAAGGGGAGGGGAGGGAGGGAGAGGAGAGAGGAAGGGGAGGAGAGGAGAGAGAGGAAGGGTAGGGGAGAGAGAGAAGGGGAGGGAGAGAGACGAGAAGGGAGGAGGATGAGAGGAGAGAGGAGGGAGGGAGGGAGGAGATGAAGAGAAGGGGAGGGAGGGAGATGAGAGAGAGGGGAGGGAGAGGAGAGAGAGAAGGGGAGGGAGGGAGGGAGTGGGAGGGAAGGGGAGGGAGGAGAGAGATGAGAGATGGGAGCAGGAGAGGAGGGAGGGAGAGTGAGGGAGAGAGTGGGAGATGAGAGAGAGAGGGGAGGAGGAGGGAGGGAGATGAGAGAAGGGGAGGGAGGGAGATGAGAGAGAAGGGGAGGGAGGGAGATGAGAGAGAAGGGGAGGGAGATGAGAGAGAAGGGGAGGGAGAGAGAGAGAAGGGGAGGGAGGGAGGGAGATGAGAGAAGGGGAGGGAGGGAGATGAGAGAGAAGGGGAGGGAGAGAGAGAGAAGGGGAGGGAGGGAGGGAGATGAGAGAAGGGGAGGGAGGGAGGGAAAGGATATTACTACAGGTAAATACTAAACATTTCTAATTTCTACTTAAATTAGTGGAACTTTTTTAAATCAGGGTATTGTCACACAATATAAATGCTTCATGCAGTAGTTATCCATTTGACTAAATGAAAGAAAGAGCACTTTCTCGTGGGAAACTGCAACTTCTGTATAATCACCAAGCTGAGAAAGAGAGGAACTCCTCCTCATTGAAAGCTGAGAGTTTGACAGCACCCATAACAACTTCATGCATAACGCAATTTATCTGCCGTCGCCTGTCAGTCACAACTGAGAAAACAGAAAGGAGCCAATAAGGACCTTCCAGGCTTCCTCAGGAGCCAATCAGAGCCAGAGGGCGGACCTTACCATGGGCAGGCCGCTGTCCATCAAGCTAACAACGCGAATGTCAATCCCGTTCTCGTCCACATCCTTCAGCAGCCGCATCACCTCGCTCACTCCCATCCACTTACAGTCAGTGTCTCCCACGGCAACAATGTAGTCCCCCTCTTTCAGCCCGTCGGCCTGGTAACAGAGAGATAACAACATTTAGTATTTTTAACAACTGGAGGAAGGAGGTTTTTTCACAAGGGGGGGACAGTCTCAGAAATAGCACTGGCTGTCTGAAATGGTACCCTATATAGGCATCTCTCTCAATTCAATTCAAAGGGCTTTATTGGCATGGGAAACGTGTGTTAACATTGCCAAAGCAAGTGAAGTTGATAGTAAACAAAAGTGAAATAAACATTAAATATTAACAGTAAACATTACACTCAGAAGTTCCAAAAGAATAAAGACATTTCAAATGTCATATTATGTGCATGTACAAAAGGGAAAATAAATAAACATGGGTTGTATTTCCAATGGTGTTTATTCTTCACTGGTTGCCCTTTTCTTGTCCAGTTCTGGCATTTAGGTCGCCACAGACTAGTACATGTCCCTGGGCCTGAAAATGGTTGATTTCCCCTCTAGGATGGAGCAGCTGTCTTAATTAAAGTATGGGGACTCTAGTGGGGGGATATACAGTGCATTCGGAAAGTATTCAGACCCCTTGACTTTTTCCACATTTTGTTACGTTACAGCCTTATTCTAAAATGGAATACATTGTTTTTTCCCATCAATCTACACACAATACCCCAAAATGACAAAGCGAAAACAGGTTTTTAGAAATGTTTGCACATTTATTAAAAACTCTAAAACAGAAATACCTTATTTACAAGTATTCAGACCCTTTGCTATGAGACTCGAAATTGATCTCAGGTGTATCCTGTTTCCATTGATCATCCTTGAGATGTTTCTACAACTTGACTGGAGTCCACCTGTGGTCAATTCAATTGATTGGACATGATTTGGAAAGGCACACACCTGTCTATATAAAGGTCCCACAGTTGACAGTGCATGTCAGAGCAAAAACCAAGCCATGAGGTCGAAGGAATTGTCCGTAGAGCTCCGAGACAAGATTTTGTCGAGGCACAGATCTGGGGAAGGGTACCAAAATATGTCTGCAGCATTGAAGGTCCTCAAGTACACAGTGCCCTCCATCATTCTTAAATAGAAGAAGTTTGGAACCACCAAGACTCTTCCTAGAGCTGGCCGCCCAGCTAAACTGAGAAATCGATGGTCACTCTGACAGAGCTCCAGAGTTCCTCTGTGGAGATGGGAGAACCTTCCAGAAGGACAACCATCTCTGCAGCACTCCACCAATCAGGCCTTTATGGTAGCCTCAGTAAAAGGCACATGACAGCCCGCTTGGAGTTTGCCAAAAGGCACCTAAAGGACTCTGACCATGAGAAATAAGATTCTCTGGTCTGATGAAACCAAGATTGAACTCTTTGGCCTGACTTCCAAGCGTCACGTCTGGAGGAAACCTGGCACCATCCCTACGGTGAAGCATGGTGGTGGCAGCATCATGCTGTGGGGATGTTTTTCAGCGGCAGGGACTGGGAGACTAGTCAGGGTCGAGGGAAAGATGAACGGAGCAAAGTACAGAGAGATCTTTCATGAACACCTGCTCCAGAGTGCTCAGGACCTCAGACTGGGGCGAAGGTTCACCTTCCAACAGGACAACAACCTTAAGCACACAGCCAAGACAACGCAGGAGTGGCTTCGGGACAAGTCTCTGAATGTCCTTGAGTGGCCCAGCCAGAGCCCGGACTTGAACCCGATCTAACATCTCTGGAGAGACCTGAAAATAGCTGTGCAGCAACGCTCCCCATCCAACCTGACAGAGCTTGAGAGGATCTGCAGAGAAGAATGGGAGAAACCCCCCAAATACAGGTGTGCCAAACTTGTAACGTCATACCCAAGAAGACTTGAGGCTGTAATCGCTGCCAAAGGTGCTTCAACATAGTACTGTGTAAATCGTCTGAATACTTATGTAAATGTAAAATGTACGTTTTATATTTTGTATATATTTGCTAATAATTGTAAAAACTTGTTTTGGCTTCGTCATTATTGGGGTATTGTATCATAGTATTATTCATTAAAGTACAGGGATTCTAGTGGGGGGGATATAGGTAGCACACAGGAGGAAATTTTTCTCTGTTGAGATAATTTCCTTTTGAATTTCTAGCCAAATGTAAAATGTTCCTGTTTTGATTAATTGAATAGAGTGAGTTAGGTCTGCTCTATACCAAAACTAGCATACCCCCTGAGTCCCTTCCCTGTTTCACACCTGGTAGTTTGGTGGATGGGACTACCAGCTCTCTGTAACCTAGAGGGCAACCAGTGGGTCCGTCTCCTCTATACCATGTTTCTTGTAGGATGACAATGTCTGTATTTCGGATTTCTTTGGTGAAGTCCAGGTTCCTGCTCTTTAGGCCAAAGGCAGATGACCTCAGGCCTTGGATATTCCAGGATGAAATAGTGAAGTCTTTGTGTTCCATAAAGTGTTTAATGTTGTTAGTCGTGTGGTTTGGCCTCAGACCAGTAGGTGTGAGCAGAGCCTGCTGAGCATCTGGTACATGCCATTGGCTTGGGCTAGTGTAAGAGTGGGGGTTGGGCCTGTTTGCCTCACCCTCACACCAAGGTCAACTAGCCAGACCTTTGTACAGGACAACACTGTGTTCATTCCTGACCAACTATCAACTTTACCCCATGGACTGTACCAAGTAAACTCAAAGTGAACAATCAATCAATAAATCAAATTAAATCCTGTTGAATCAAGTTTAGAGTTATAAAGGAGTTGTGATGGATTGAGCCCCAGGCCCCAGGCTCTGGTCTGGTCTAGTCAGTTGGTCCTAATCAGGCTCTGCTCTGGTCTAGTTAGTTGGTCCTAATCAGGCTCTGCTCTGGTCTAGTCAGTTGGTCCTAATCAGGCTCTGCTCTGGTCTAGTCAGTTGGTCCTAATCAGGCTCTGCTCTGGTCTAGTCATTGGTCCTAATCAGGCTCTGCTCTGGTCTAGTCATTGGTCCTAATCAGGCTCTGCTCTGGTCTAGTCAGTTGGTCCTAATCAGGCTCTGCTCTGGTCTAGTCAGTTGGTCCTAATCAGGCTCTGCTCTGGTCTAGTCAGTTGGTCCTAATCAGGCTCTGCTCTGGTCTAGTCAGTTGGTCCTAATCAGGCTCTGCTCTGGTCTAGTCATTTGTCCTAATCAGGCTCTGCTCTGGTCTAGTCAGTTGGTCCTAATCAGGCTCTGCTCTGGTCTAGTCAGTTGGTCCTAATCAGGCTCTGCTCTGGTCTAGTCAGTTGGTCCTAATCAGGCTCTGCTCTGGTCTAGTCAGTTGGTCCTAATCAGGCTCTGCTCTGGTCTAGTCAGTTGGTCCTAATCAGGCTCTGCTCTGGTCTAGTCATTGGTCCTAATCAGGCTCTGCTCTGGTCTAGTCAGTTGGTCCTAATCAGGCTCTGCTCTGGTCTAGTCAGATGGTCCTAATCAGGCTCTGCTCTGGTCTAGTCATTGGTCCTAATCAGGCTCTGCTCTGGTCTAGTCATTGGTCCTAATCAGGCTCTGCTCTGGTCTAGTCAGTTGGTCCTAATCAGGCTCTGCTCTGGTCTAGTCAGTTGGTCCTAATCAGGCTCTGCTCTGGTCTAGTCAGTTGGTCCTAATCAGGCTCTGCTCTGGTCTAGTCAGTTGGTCCTAATCAGGCTCTGCTCTGGTCTAGTCAGTTGGTCCTAATCAGGCTCTGCTCTGGTCTAGTCAGTTGGTCCTAAAAAGGCTCTGCTCTGGTCTAGTCAGTTGGTCCTAATCAGGCTCTGCTCTGGTCTAGTCATTGGTCCTAATCAGGCTCTGCTCTGGTCTAGTCAGTTGGTCCTAATCAGGCTCTGCTCTGGTCTAGTCAGTTGGTCCTAATCAGGCTCTGCTCTGGTCTAGTCATTGGTCCTAATCAGGCTCTGCTCTGGTCTAGTCAGTTGGTCCTAATCAGGCTCTGCTCTGGTCTAGTCAGTTGGTCCTAATCAGGCTCTGCTCTGGTCTAGTCAGTTGGTCCTAATCAGGCTCTGCTCTGGTCTAGTCAGTTGGTCCTAATCAGGCTCTGGTCTGGTCTAGTCAGTTGGTCCTAATCAGGCTCTGCTCTGGTCTAGTCAGTTGGTCCTAATCAGGCTCTGGTCTGGTCTAGTCAGTTGGTCCTAATCAGGCTCTGCTCTGGTCTAGTCAGTTGGTCCTAATCAGGCTCTGCTCTGGTCTAGTCAGTTGGTCCTAATCAGGCTCTGGTCTGGTCTAGTCAGTTGGTCCTAATCAGGCTCTGGTCTGGTCTAGTCATTGGTCCTAATCAGGCTCTGCTCTGGTCTAGTCAGTTGGTCCTAATCAGGCTCTGGTCTGGTCTAGTCAGTTGGTCCTAATCAGGCTCTGCTCTGGTCTAGTCAGTTGGTCCTAATCAGGCTCTGCTCTGGTCTAGTCAGTTGGTCCTAATCAGGCTCTGCTCTGGTCTAGTCAGTTGGTCCTAATCAGGCTCTGCTCTGGTCTAGTCAGTTGGTCCTAATCAGGCTCTGGTCTGGTCTAGTCAGTTGGTCCTAATCAGGCTCTGCTCTGGTCTAGTCAGTTGGTCCTAATCAGGCTCTGGTCTGGTCTAGTCAGTTGGTCCTAATCAGGCTCTGCTCTGGTCTAGTCAGTTGGTCCTAATCAGGCTCTGGTCTGGTCTAGTCAGTTGGTCCTAATCAGGCTCTGCTCTGGTCTAGTCAGTTGGTCCTAATCAGGCTCTGGTCTTTGTTAGCAGCTATTAATGAGCATTCTGACTGAAATTCTAATGAAATTAGCAGAAGAGGAGGAGGGAGGGAGGGAGGGAGGGAGGGAGGGAGGGAGGGAGGGAGGGAGGGAGGGAGGGAGGGGAGGAGGGATGGAGGGAGGGAGGGGGGAGGGAGGGAGGGAGGGAGGGAGGGAGGGGGGGATGGAGGGAGGGGGAGGGAGGGATGGGGAGGGAGGGAGGGAGGGAGGGAGGGAGGGGGAGGGTTGGGAGGAGCCAACAAAGCCCCCACCATAAGGTAAACACTATTGTTATATTTCCAGGAATTGAGGGATTTCTATTTTTAGGGTTGTTGTTGTTGGTACATAATGTTACTAATGAACGGTTCATTAGGGGAACTCTGGAGGGGAATTAGAACAGTGCGTTTCATGTTTGACTGGGTGTTTTATTACGTCGGTCTTGGCTCTGAGCAGCACCCTATTGGAGTCCGTCTGATGGCTGCTCTGTAATGATCAATTCAAACTAATTCAAAGTTCGTCCTCTTTGGGTAATCACTAATTATTCCTAGATGATTAGCACCAGGAGACTGCAGAGTACAGACCGGTGTTACAGGCTGTGACAGTGACTGTGGCAGAGTAACTGTTTAGGTCAAACCCTTCTTATGGAAATTAGACATTCACCTGCACTGTGTTAATGGGGGAAGGGTTATGCTGCCGCACACACAGGCCAGAGAGAGGGGAAGGGTTATGCTGCCCAGGCCAGAGAGAGGGGAAGGGTTATGCTGCCGCCCATACAGGCCAGAGAGAGGGGAAGGGTTATGCTGCCGCACACACAGGCCAGAGAGAGGGGAAGGGTTATGCTGCCGCACACACAGGTCAGAGAGAGGGGAAGGGTTATGCTGCCGCACACACAGGCCAGAGAGAGGGGAAGGGTTATGCTGCCGCCCATACAGGCCAGAGAGAGGGGAAGGGTTATGCTGCCGCCCATACAGGCCAGAGAGAGGGGAAGGGTTATGCTGCCGCACACACAGGCCAGAGAGAGGGGAAGGGTTATGCTGCCGCCCATACAGGCCAGAGAGAGGGGAAGGGTTATGCTGCCGCACACACAGGCCAGAGAGAGGGGAAGGGTTATGCTGCCGCACACACAGGCCAGAGAGAGGGGAAGGGTTATGCTGCCCAGGCCAGAGAGAGGGGAAGGGTTATGCTGCCGCCCATACAGGCCAGAGAGAGGGGAAGGGTTATGCTGCCGCACACACAGGCCAGAGAGAGGGGAAGGGTTATGCTGCCGCACACACAGGTCAGAGAGAGGGGAAGGGTTATGCTGCCGCACACACAGGCCAGAGAGAGGGGAAGGGTTATGCTGCCGCCCATACAGGCCAGAGAGAGGGGAAGGGTTATGCTGCCGCCCATACAGGCCAGAGAGAGGGGAAGGGTTATGCTGCCGCACACACAGGCCAGAGAGAGGGGAAGGGTTATGCTGCGACACACACAGGCCAGAGAGAGGGGAAGGGTTATGCTGCCCAGGCCAGAGAGAGGGGAAGGGTTATGCTGCCGCACACACAGGCCAGAGAGAGGGGAAGGGTTATGCTGCCGCACACACAGGCCAGAGAGAGGGGAAGGGTTATGCTGCCGCACACACAGGCCAGAGAGAGGGGAAGGGTTATGCTGCCGCACACACAGGCCAGAGAGAGGGGAAGGGTTATGATGATCCACAGGCAGATGTGGAGGTTTCATTTGAGGTCAACATGAATGATTTACAAAACGGAGTTAAAAGTTAAAAGACATCATCTAGTCTTGTTCAAAGTCATCCACCCTTTATGACACAATAATCAGACAGTGTATGTATGTCACTCACAGCGGCGGGGCAGGGTGGGTCTAGGAAGGTGACCAGTGTGCATCACCAAAACCCTTCCTCCCGTCAGCCTAACCCTTCCCCCCAGTAACCAGTAGTACAGTATACTCACAGCGGAAGGGCAGAGTGGGTCCAGGGAGGTGACCTGCACAGGTACAGGGTCTCCTCTCAGGGTGAAGCCCAGGTCTCTGTCCTCCAGTTTCAGCCTGACGGTGCGAGGAGCTGTCCAGCGTTGCTTAGCAGAGAACACCGACAGAGGACCCTGGAGGGGGGGGGGAGACGGACAGGTTGTTATGATAACTTACCATGGACACCCAACCCTGATACAGTGAGGGGAAAAAGCATTTGATCCCCTGCTGATTTTGTACGTTTGCCCACTGACAAAGACATGATCAGTCTATAATTTTAATGGTAGGTTTATTTGAACAGTGAGAGACAGAATAACAACAAATGAATCCAGAAAAACACATGTCAAAAATGTTATAAATTGATTTGCATTTTAATGAGGGAAATAAGTATTTGACCCCTCTGCAAAACATGACTTAGTACTTGGTGGCAAAACCCTTGTTGGCAATCACAGAGGTCAGACGTTTCTTGTAGTTGGCCAGCAGGTTTGCACTCATCTCAGGAGGGATTTTATCCCACTCCTCTTTGCAGATCTTCTCCAATTCATTAAGGTTTCGAGGCTGACGTTTGGCAACTCGAACCTTCAGCTCCCTCCACAGATTTTCTATGGGATTAAGATCTGGAGACTGGCTGGGCCACTCCAGGACCTTAATGTGCTTCTTCTTGAGCCACTCCTTTGTTGCCTTGGCCGTGTGTTTTGGGTCATTGTCATGCTGGAATACCCATCCACGACCCATTTTCAATGCCCTAGCTGAGGGAAGGAGGTTCTTACCCAAGATTTGACGGTACATGTTCCCGTCCATGTCCCTTTGATGCGGTGAAGTTGTCCTGTCCCCTTAGCAGAAAAACACCCCCAAAGCATAATGTTTCCACCTCCATGTTTGACGGTGGGGATGGTGTTCTTGGGGTCATAGGCAGCATTCCTCCTCCTCCAAACACGGCGAGTTGAGTTGATGCCAAAGAGCTCCATTTTGGTCTCATCTGACTACAACACATTCACCCAGTTCTCCTCTGAATCATTCAGATGTTCATTGGCAAACTTCAGACGGCATGTATATGTGCTTTCTTGAGCAGGGGGACCCTGCGGGCGCTGCAGGATTTCAGTCCTTCACGGCGTAGTGTGTTACCAATTGTTTTCTTGGTGACTATGGTCCCAGCTGCCTTGAGATCATTGACAAGATCCTCCCGTGTAGTTCTGGGCTGATTCCTCACCGTTGTCATGATCATTGCAACTCCACGAGGTGAGATCTTGCATGGAGCCCCAGGCCGATGGAGATTTACAGTTATTTTGTGTTTCTTCCATTTGCGAATAATCGCACCAACTGTTGTCACCTTCTCACCAAGCTGCTTGGCGATGGTCTTGTAGCCCATTCCAGCCTTGTGTAGGTCTACAATCTTGTCCCTGACATCCTTGGAGAGCTCTTTGGTCTTGGCCATGGTGGAGAGTTTGGAATCTGATTGATTGATTGCTTCTGTGGACAGGTGTCTTTTATACAGGTAACAAGCTGAGATTAGGAGCACTCCCTTTAAGAGTGTGCTGCTAATCTCAGCTCGTTACCTGTATAAAAGACACCTGGGAGCCAGAAATCTTTCTGATTGAGAGGGGGTCAAATATTTATTTCCCTCATTTAAAATGCAAATCAATTCATAACATTTTTTACATGCGTTTTTCTGGATTATTTTGTTGTTATTCTGTCTCTCACTGTTCAAATAAACCAACCATTAAAATTATAGACTGATAATTTCTTTGTCAGTGGGCAAACGTACAAAATCACCAGGGGATCAAATACTTTTTTTCCCCTCACTGTAGGTCTGTTAGTGTGGGGTGGGGGGAGACGGACAGGTTGTTATGATAATTTACCATGGACAACCAACCCTGATAGGACTGTTAGTTTGCGTCCCAAATGGCACTATGGGGCCTGGTCAAAAGTAGTGCATTATGTAGGGAATAGATTAGGTGCCATTTGGGCTGCAACCTGTTAGTTCAACACCACTGTTAAATGTTATTGATTCACCAAGACAATGTGACTGAGTAAATAGGAGTATTAACAGAGTTCAACACCACTGTTAAATGTTATTGATTCACCAAGACAATGTGACTGAGTAAATAGGAGTATTAACAGAGTTCAACACCACTGTTAAATGTTATTGATTCACCAAGACAATGTGACTGAGTAAATAGGAGTATTAACAGAGTTCAACACCACTGTTAAATGTTATTGATTCACCAAGACAATGTGACTGAGTAAATAGGGGTATTAACAGAGTGCAACACCACTGTTAAATGTTATTGATTCACCAAGACAATGTGACTGAGTAAATAGGGGTATTAACAGAGTTCAACACCACTGTTAAATGTTATTGATTCACCAAGACAATGTGGTTCTGTTGGGGTGGATTCAGAAAACAGCACAACACGATCTGGGTGTTTAGAACAAGTTGAACTGAATTTAACTGAAAACATTTTGTTTAAAAAAACAAAACAAATCCAGAGCTTTGTAATGCCAATTTCTGAATAAACCATACATACTTTACATGAAGGGCCGGTTTCCCGGACACAGATTAAGCTTAGTCCTAGACTATAAAGGAGTTTAAGAGTCAATGGTGATTCTCCATTCACCATGCTTTATGGTCCAGGTCTAGGTTTAAATCTGTGTCCGGGAAACCGGCCCTGAAAATGTTAGAATGTTAAAATTAGTAGCCCACATACCAGCCTCCGGAAAAAGTCTGTGACCTTCACCTTAGTGGACATGGGCATTTCCATCTCCGCCTTGTGCTCCGTTTTAGCTGAGGAGGGAAAAATAGGCCTTTATCATGCTGTTTGTTTGTTATCACAACTACACAACCTGGCAACCTCCTCTGGAGTAGAGTAGTACGGGGGGGGGGGGGGGGGGGGGTGCCAGGTTGGCTACATGTTGACAGTAAACAATAGATCATCACATCACCTGGAACTACTAAACGACTATCTAAAAAAGGTAATTAGAAGGTTGTTTAAGGTTATTTCACATGAGAACATTTAGGAAGCTACATTGTATGTTATCTCTAGTCTTACAATCCACACACAAATGTAACCCAACAATTATAATGATGTCCAATAGCGAGACCCTATCTCAGTGTATTAAATGAACAGTAATGTGGAGACAGAGCTGACGTTGAAGTAAAACGTTTTTTTTTTTTTTTAAATAAAAGTTGTTGATTGGTTGATTGAGTTGCCAATAAGAGGTTCACTCACAGATGATGTCTGGTGCCTCCAGGTAGTCTGTGAACTCGTCGTCTTGGTTGTTGTCATTGAACTTGGCCAGGGAGCGTTTGTGACTGGCCTGGAGAATGTCCTGGAGGACGTCCAGCTTCCTGAGGTGACGACACAGACCATGGATCCTCAGACCCTCCTCATGACCCATCACAGCCCGCCGCAGGTGGGCCTTACCTGGGGGAGGGAGAGGGGGAGGAAAGGGGAAGTGGAGGAGGTGGAGAGGGCAGGTGGAGGAGGAGAGGGGAGGTGGAGGAGGAGAGTGGAGTAGAGGGGAGGAGGAGAGGGGAGGGGAGGGAGGAGGAGAGGGGAGGTGGAGGAGGAGAGGAGAGGGAGGAGGATAGGGGAGGTGGAGAGGGGAGGGTGGAGAGGGGAGGGAGGGAGGAGGAGAGGGGAGGGAGGGAGGAGGAGAGGGGAGGGAGGAGGAGGGTGGAGGCGGATGAGGGAGGAGAGGGAAGGTGGATGTGAGGTGGAGAGAGGGAGGCGAGGGGAGGTGGGAGAAGAAGAGGGGAGGAGAGGTTGAGGAGGGAGAGAGGGGAGGCAGGTGGGTATGAGTAAGGATACAGGTAAAAACAAAATGGATCCTGTTTAGACTCAGTCCATAGGGTACCAGGTAATAACATGGCTATATACAGGAAGTACCAGGTAATAACATGGCTATATACAGGAAGTACCAGGTAATAACATGGCTATATACAGGAAGTACCAGGTAATAACATGGCTATATACAGGAAGTACCAGGTAATAACATGGCTATATACAGGAAGTACCAGGTAATAACATGGCTATATACAGGAAGTACCAGGTAATAACATGGCTATATACAGGAAGTACCAGGTAATAACATGGCTATATACAGGAAGTACCAGGTAATAACATGGCTATATACAGGGAGTACCAGGTAATAACATGGCTATATACAGGAAGTACCAGGTAATAACATGGCTATATACAGAGAGTACCATGTAATAACATGGCTATATACAGAGAGTACCATGTAATAGCATGGCTATATACAGAGAGTACCAGGTAATAACATGGCTATATACAGGAAGTACCAGGTAATAACATGGTTATATACAGGAAGTACCAGGTAATAACATGGCTATATACAGGGGTACCAGGTAATAACATGGTTGTATACACAGGTAGCAGGTAAATTCAAATCGGGAGTGCCAGAGTGCGCTCTGAGCGTTCGTAAATTCAGAGTGTTTCCCTCTCGGAGCGTTCAGAGCGCACACTGGCACTCCCGATTTGAATTGATCCGAGCATTCTGACCATCACAACGGCAGTCAAGCACCCAAGCTAACTGGCTAGCTACTTCCGGACACAAATGAGAGAACACCTCACTGACCATTTTACTCGCCCTAGCAGAGCTGGTTAGGCTGTTTTTATGTTATCCTGTGCTGCTGGCAACAATTTAATTACGCTTTTTTGCCGATGTTTACTGACACTGGCCATATTCAGCAGGTGTTGAGCTATCGTAAATTCATCAGTTATTCTGTGCTCTGGCACAATCAGACGAGAGTGCTCTGAAATCAGAGTAGATAGCCAGAGCGAATTTATGTCCATTGAGAACGCACAGCGACTATACCACTTAGCTAAGAATGTCGTGAATAATGAAGTCAATAAACGTTGGGTAGTTAGTTAGGTAGCATATGCTTAATATACTGGTAAGTACGATGTATTAATAGCCAAGTAACGAGGTAGCTAGCTAACATACCGGTACATACTGCTGTAATGATATGCTATGCGGTTCGTAAGGATAGCGTAGCTAACAAATTATCAGCCAACATAACGTGTAGCGTAACTTGTTTGAAAAGTCATTACTTTATTACATTGCTCAACATTTTCTTAACATTTGTCATAATTAGTTAAATCAATGAATTTGTATCCGCTCTCGTCGGACTTCGGCCATTTTCTTCAAATCTGAAAACGTTGTGAAGCCACGCCCATTTTCTGAAGAATTGCATTATGGGCCCTAAAAGCACGAAAATAGTGTCCACTGCTTGTATACCTCGTATTTTGACGAATGTAGCATCCGGGAACTTTTGGCATACTAACTACATCCATACCATGACCAATAAACATACTACATCCTCAATTTACGTCACAAATAGTACGGTCAGTGCGGTTAGTATGAGGATTCAAACACAGCAGGTGTGTAGAGTCCAGACAGTCAGAGACTGTTTAAATGACTGGATCTAGACCTCAACCACACATAATAAAGGACCGCGGAAACACAGTATTGGGCTTCGGGCCTATGGGCCTTACCGATGTGGCGTCTCTCCTCTCTCTTCCTGAGGATGTCGAGCGGGGAGCGGCCATCTGGCATGGCATCATACACCTGGGACAGAGCCTTCTCCTGTTGGTCCTCATCATCACTGGGTCTCACTGGAAAAAAACACAGACCGGAGACAGGATTAGGACATGGCAACACAGAGACAGGAGAAGGACATGGCAACACAGAGACAGGATTAGGACATGGCAACACAGAGACAGGATTAGGACATGGAAACACACAGAGACAGGATTAGGACATGGAAACACACAGAGACAGGATTAGGACATGGCAACACAGAGACAGGATTAGGACATGGCAACACAGAGACAGGATTAGGACATGGCAACACAGAGACAGGATTAGGACATGGCAAGACAGAGACAGGATTAGGACATGGCAACACAGAGACAGGATTAGGACATGGCAACACAGAGACAGGATTAGGACATGGCAACACAGAGACAGGATTAGGACATGGCAACACAGAGACAGGATTAGGACATGGCAACACAGAGACAGGATTAGGACATGGCAACACACAGAGACAGGATTAGGACATGGCAACACAGAGACAGGATTAGGACATGGCAACACAGAGACAGGAGAAGGACATGGCAACACAGAGACAGGATTAGAACATGGCAACACAGAGACAGGAGAAGGACATGGCAACACAGAGACAGGATTAGGACATGGCAAGACAGAGACAGGATTAGGACATGGCAACACAGAGACAGGATTAGAACATGGCAACACAGAGACAGGATTAGGACATGGCAACACACAGAGACAGGATTAGGACATGGCAACACACAGAGACAGGATTGGGACATGGCAACACAGAGACAGGATTAGGACATGGCAACACAGAGACAGGAGAAGGACATGGCAACACAGAGACAGGATTAGGACATGGCAACACAGAGACAGGAGAAGGACATGGCAACACAGAGACAGGATTAGAACATGGCAACACAGAGACAGGATTAGGACATGGCAACACAGAGACAGGATTAGGACATGGCAACACAGAGACAGGATTAGGACATGGCAACACAGAGACAGGATTAGGACATGGCAACACAGAGACAGGATTAGGACATGGCAACACACAGAGACAGGAGAAGGACATGGCAACACAGAGACAGGATTAGGACATGGCAACACAGAGACAGGAGAAGGACATGGCAACACAGAGACAGGAGAAGGACATGGCAACACAGAGACAGGAGAAGGACATGGCAACACAGAGACAGGAGAAGGACATGGCAACACAGAGACAGGAGAAGGACATGGCAACACAGAGACAGGAGAAGGACGTGGCAACACAGAGACAGGAGAAGGACATGGCAACACAGAGACAGGAGAAGGACATGGAAACACAGAGACAGGAGAAGGACATGGCAACACAGAGACAGGATTAGGACATGGCAACACAGAGACAGGAGAAGGACATGGCAACACAGAGACAGGATTAGGACATGGCAACACAGAGACAGGAGAAGGACATGGCAACACAGAGACAGGAGAAGGACGTGGCAACACAGAGACAGGAGAAGGACATGGCAACACAGAGACAGGATTAGGACATGGCAACACAGAGACAGGATTAGGACATGGCAACACACAGAGACAGGATTAGGACATGGAAACACACAGGGATAGTTTAGTTTATCTATTTGCACAGATATTACACACAATTCTGCCTTTCAATCAAGGTTTGAGTTTTATGCAATCCCTCCTCTCTGCCAATGCAGGGACACCATCAGGACATGATTAGTTTAGTTGATCCATTTGGACATGATTAGTTCCATGGTCAAAAGTAGTGCACTATATAGGGAATAGGGTGCCATGGTCATACCCCTCTGGTCAAAAGTAGTGCACTATATAGGGAATAGGGTGCCATGGTCATACCCCTCTGGTCAAAAGTAGTGCACTATATAGGGTACCATTTGGGATGTAGCCTTGGCTGTTGGCAGTGTCCCTCTAACCAGAGGACAGATCCAGCCTGGGACCGAGACAGTTTGGTTTGAGCAACACAAAGAAGTGTTATATAACTGACCATGGTGGTACCGATTCAAACTCTACACTGCTCTCTCTTTCTGTCCTCTTTAGAAAACTAAAGGTCCCAGTTGGGAGATTCCACTAAAGGTCTTGATGAGGAGAGTCCATTAAAGTCTATTTAAACTGATACCTGAGATGTCGTCTTTGGGATGTGAGAGGAAGGAGGAGGTGAATGAACCACTCTGTTTCAGTAAGGTCCAGGAAACCCATCTAGTAACTAATAGAACCACTCTGTTTCAGTAAGGTCCAGGAAACCCATCTAGTAACTAATAGAACCACTCTGTTTCAGTAAGGTCCAGGAAACCCATCTAGTAACTAATAGAACCACTCTGTTTCAGTAAGGTCCAGGAAACCCATCTAGTAACTAATAGAACCACTCTGTTTCAGTAAGGTCCAGGAAACCCATCTAGTAACTAATAGAACCACTCTGTTTCAGTAAGGTCCAGGAAACTCATCTAGTAACTAATAGGCATTACACATCTCACTCTCTCCCGCTCTCCTTGTCTCCCTCTCTCCCTCCCTCTTCCTCTCCCTCTCTCCCTCCCTCTTCCTCTCCCTCTCCCTCCCTCCCTACCGATCACGCATATAAGGGATATGATTGGCTAATGGCTGCTTGACTTACGCTGGTGGTCCAACAGAGCGGTAGCCAGGAAGTAGTGTGCCAGTGAGCGGTAGTGGTTGGTCTTGACCTGAGCCATGGTGGACCAGAAGAACGGGACGTTGTCTTTGATGGGAGTCTGGCTCATAGACTGGTGGACCTGGCCATAGGTGTCTCCTACCTGAGAGGGGACATAGAGATGTAGTGTTATAGTATGCATCCTATTCCCTATATAGTGCACTACTTTTGAGCAGAGCTCAATGGCACCCTATTCCCTATATAGTGCACTACTTTTGACCAGAGCCTTAGTGCACTAAATAGGGAATGGGGTGCCATTTGGGAGGTACTGTTATATTGTTACAGGATGACCTTTCCTGCTCTTTAGTCAGACCCACCTCAAAGGGATCTGTGAGACGGGAAGTGCCATACTGTCTTAGATAATGGAGCTCATTATAGCGTTGAGGTTAAACTCTAAAACAAACACTATTAGGGCAAAGCAGATCTGTATGTGTTGAATGCTACCCATTGAACATCAGACCAATCCATAAAATCTATCTATAGCAAATTAATCAATATCAATCCATCTGTATTAGCCTGTAGACCGTGTAAACGATGAAAATGTATTGTCCATGTACCTTGGCAGCCTCCTGGGCCATCTTGAGGAGAGAGAAGAACTCATTGCGGATGCCAGACAGAGCGATTTTCTCAAACAGACACTCCTGAGCTTGAGCCAGCATCATCTTGATGAGCATGCTGAGCATGGAGGGGCTCATGTCGTAGCTGGGGGTGTGGGTGAACGTCTCCTTCAGGTGGTGCAGGACTCCTACAGGGGGAGACACAGAGAGAGAGAGAGAGAGAGAGGGGGGAGGTGAGCTGAGCTGAGCTGAGCTGAGCATGGAGGGACTCACGTCATAGCTGGGAGGTGTGGGTGAACGTCTCCTTCAGGTGGTTCAGGACTCATTTCTAAACGCTGCATACGGATAAAATATGCCCCAAAACATGCATGCGCCAGTTTTCATGCAAGAATTTGCATTTATAAAAACTGAACTTGACGTGAGAATGTGCTAATCCTTTTATACTCCCGCTAACATCAGACCATGAGTACTCAGTTTCTAACATTAGACCATGAGTACTCACAGTTTCAAACATTAGACCATGAGTACTCACCGTTTCTAACATCAGACCATGAGTACTCACCGTTTCTAACATCAGACCATGAGTACTCACCGTTTCTAACATCAGACCATGAGTACTCACCGTTTCTAACATTAGACCATGAGTACTCACCGTTTCTAACATTAGACCATGAGTACTCACCGTTTCTAACATTAGACCATGAGTACTCACCGTTTCTAACATTAGACCATGAGTACTCACCGTTTCTAACATTAGACCATGAGTACTCACAGATTAAAAATAATTTAAACTTTCTGCCCATATAAAGACATGTCTATGTCCTGGAAAGTTTGCCGGTACTTACAACAGTCATGCTAATCACATTAGCGCACTTTAAAAATAAAGAACTCAAATATCACATTTACATAAGTATTCAGACCCTTTGCTCAGTACTTTGTTGAAGCACCTTTGGCAGAGATTACTCCTGAGTGGCGCAGTGGTCTAAGGCACTGCATCGCAGTGCTAACTGTTCCACTAGAGATCCTGGTTTGAATCCAGGCTCTGTCGCAGCTGGCCGCGACCGGGAGACTCATGGGCGGCGCACAATTGGCCCAGCGTCGTCCAGGGTAGGGGAGGGAATGGCCGGCAGGGATGTAGCTCAGTTGATAGAGCATGGCGTTTGCAACGCCAGGGTTGTGGGTTCGTTTCCCAGGGGGGGCCAATATAAAAATATATATATATATATGTATTCACTAACTGTAAGTCGCTCTGGATAAGAGCGTCTGCTAAATGACTAAAATGTAAAAATGTAAAATGTAAATTACAGCCTCGAGTCTTCTTGGGTATGATGCTACAAGCTTGGCACACCTGTATTTGGGGAGTTTCTCCCATTCTTCTCTGCAGATCCTCTCAAGCTCTGTCAGGTTGGATGGGGAGCGTCGCTGCACAGCTATTTTCAGGTCTCTCCAGAGATGTTCGATCGGGTTCAAGTCCGGGCTCTGGCTGGGCCACTCAAGGACATTCAGAGACTTGTCCCGAAGCCACTCCTGCATTGTCTCGGCTGTGTGCTTAGTGTGGTTGTCCTGTTGGAAGGTGAACCTTCACCCCAGTCTGAGGTCCTGAGCGCGCTGAAGCAGGTTTTCATCAAGGATCACTCTGTACTTTGCTCTGTTCATCTTTGCCTTGATCCTGACTAGTCTCCCAGTCCCTGCCGGTGAAAATCATCCCCACAGCATGATGCTGCCACCACAATGCTTCACCGTAGTAATGGTGCCATGTTTCCTCCAGACGTGACGCTTGGCATTCAGGCCAAAGATTTCAATCTCGGTTTCATCAGAGCAGAGAATCTTGTTTCTCATGGTCTGAGCTCTGTCACCTCCCTGACCAAGGCCCTTCTCCCCCGATTGCTCAGTTTGGCCGGGCAGCCAGCTCTAGGAAGAGTCTTGGTGGTTCAAAACTTCTTCTGTTTAAGAATTATGGAAGCCACTGTGTTCTTGGGGACCTTCAATGCTGCAGAAATGTTTTTGTACCCTTCCCCAGATCTGTGCCTCGACACAATCCTGTCTTGGAGCTCTACGGACAATTCCTTCGACCTCATGGCTTGGTTTTTGCTCTGACATGCACGGTCAACTGTGGGACCTTATATAGACAGGTGTGTGCCTTTCCAAATCATGTCCAATCAATTGAAATGACCCCAGGTAGACTCCAATCAAGTTGTAGAAACATGTCAAGGATGATCAATGGAAACAGGATGCACCTGAGATCAATTTCGAGTCTCATAACAAAGGGTCTGAATACTTATGTAAATAAGGTATCTCTTATTTTTAATACATTTGCAAATATTTCTAAAAACCTGTTTTCGCTTTGTCATTATAGGGTATTGTGTGTAGATTGATGAGGACATTTTTTTATTTAATCCAATTTAGAATAAGGCTGTAACGTAACAAAATGTGGAAAAAGTCAAGGGGTCTGAATACTTTCCGAATGCACTGTATCATATATCCTAACCATTGCAGTATAACTTTCTGGATAAAAGCGTCTGCTAAGTGGCATATGATTATTATTATTATTATTATTATTATTATTATTATTATTATAAATTCCTCACCTTTTCTGGCCGTGAGGGGTTAATACTGAAGAAGCCATACAATAAATGACCATCTCTCATTTAATTGGGCCTATTAGATGATAATTTCTAGTTTTTGCTCTATGCATCCGAAAGATAGCTTGGTTTTTAACATACAGTATAATTTTTATTTTATTTTTTAGAGTAGACATCGTTTTAGAATTCGCGGGCAGTGCAGCATATTTAGGTTCGGGAAAAAGTAAAATGCAAAACATTATTGAATTCAAACGATCTGTTTACAGGTCCACAACAATTTACAATCATTTATTTTCTTTCAGAAACTGTCCGATAGTCTACAGCAAAAGAAAACATTCTGCCAACTCCTTCAAAAGACATTTGATCAAGTTCACCATTGCTATTTCCTTTAGCTAAGTCTTGGCCTAATTCCAAAACTTCCACAGTGAACAGTAAATAAGGGCGTTGTTGTCACCATGAAAAGGTGATTGATGGGCGCTTTTCAGGCGGTGTTAGGGAGACAGACAGAGAGGTGAGGACGGAGAGAGACAGAGACGTACACAGAGAGACACAGACAGACAGAGAGGTGAGGACGGAGAGAGACAGAGACATACACAGAGAGACACAGACAGACAGAGAGGTGAGGACGGAGAGAGACAGAGACATACACAGAGAGACACAGACAGACAGAGAGATGAGGACGGAGGGAGACAGAGACATACACAGAGAGACACAGACAGACAGAGAGGTGAGGACCTCTGGTTGTTAGTAACCCTGCTGTTAGCAAGACTGACCTAATCCTGACCTGACCTCAGCCTGACCTCAGCAAAAGCATAAATCAAATTAAAAATCACACTTATTTTATGAAGCCCTTTTTACAGCAGCAGATGTCACCGAGTGCTTTACAGATATCCAGCCTAAATGCAGAGGCTGCAGAAATAAAAACAGCAGCCATTTTGTTTTCCCTCTGTATACCTCCTCTGTGAATTAGAGTTTATAACACTAGGTAAACACGATGCTTGTGTTCAGTGATTTCTACAGCTGTAGACTCACTTATTACGGAAGTTCTCTCAGATAGTGAACAGAGTGATGTAGTGTGATTGAGCCTTTCTCTCTCAGGGCCTCCCAGCCCGGTAGTGTTTACAGAGCCTTTCTCTATCAGGGCCTCCCAGCCCGGTAGTGTTTACAGAGCCTTTCTCTCTCAGGGTCTGTCATGGTAGCGCCCTATGTAGGAAATTGGCTTTTATTTGGGAAGCACCACTGTGTCCCAATTGAGTTCAACCTCAGGCTCCTTGAGTGACTTGTAAAAATTGTAAGTATGCGTTTGTGCGTGTCCGTGCGTGTCCGTACATGCGTGTTATCGACACATCAACACAGAGCGTTCCAACACAGGCCTGATTTGCCACACCTGTACCGAACATAACAACGGTAGCTCCAAGTTAGCCCACTGTTGTTTTCACCCCCCCCTGACTTTAACATGACGCCATTATACTCTCTGGGACAGAAGGTAGGGCTGTATGTCAGTGTGTCACCAGGACAGAAGGTAGGGCTGTATGTCAGTGTGTTACCAGGACAGAAGGTAGGGCTGTATGTCAGTGTGTTACCAGGACAGAAGGTAGGGCTGTATGTCAGTGTGTTACCAGGACAGAAGGTAGGGCTGTATGTCAGTGTGTTACCAGGACAGAAGGTAGGGCTGTATGTCAGTGTGTTACCAGGACAGAAGGTAGGGCTGTATGTCAGTGTGTTACCAGGACAGAAGGTAGGGCTGTATGTCAGTGTGTTACCAGGACAGAAGGTAGGGCTGTATGTCAGTGTGTCACCAGGACAGAAGGTAGGGCTGTATGTCAGTGTGTTACCAGGACAGAAGGTAGGGCTGTATGTCAGTGTGTCACCAGGACAGAAGGTAGGGCTGTATGTCAGTGTGTTATTTGACAGAAGGTAGGGCTGTATGTCAGTGTGTTACCAGGACAGAAGGTAGGGCTGTATGTCAGTGTGTTACCAGGACAGAAGGTAGGGCTGTATGTCAGTGTATTACCAGGACAGAAGGTAGGGCTGTATGTCAGTGTGTCACCAGGACAGAAGGTAGGGCTGTATGTCAGTGTGTTACCAGGACAGAAGGTAGGGCTGTATGTCAGTGTGTTACCAGGACAGAAGGTAGGGCTGTATGTCAGTGTGTTACCAGGACAGAAGGTAGGGCTGTATGTCAGTGTGTTACCAGGACAGAAGGTAGGGCTGTATGTCAGTGTGTTACCAGGACAGAAGGTAGGGCTGTATGTCAGTGTGTTACCAGGACAGAAGGTAGGGCTGTATGTCAGTGTGTTACCAGGACAGAAGGTAGGGCTGTATGTCAGTGTGTTACCAGGACAGAAGGTAGGGCTGTATGTCAGTGTGTTACCAGGACAGAAGGTAGGGCTGTATGTCAGTGTGTTACCAGGACAGAAGGTAGGGCTGTATGTCAGTGTGTTACCAGGACAGAAGGTAGGGCTGTATGTCAGTGTGTTATCAGGACAGAAGGTAGGGCTGTATGTCAGTGTGTTACCAGGACAGAAGGTAGGGCTGTATGTCAGTGTGTTACCAGGACAGAAGGTAGGGCTGTATGTCAGTGTGTCACCAGGACAGAAGGTAGGGCTGTATGTCAGTGTGTTACCAGGACAGAAGGTAGGGCTGTATGTCAGTGTGTCACCAGGACAGAAGGTAGGGCTGTATGTCAGTGTGTTACCAGGACAGAAGGTAGGGCTGTATGTCAGTGTGTCACCAGGACAGAAGGTAGGGCTGTATGTCAGTGTGTTACCAGGACAGAAGGTAGGGCTGTATGTCAGTGTGTTACCAGGACAGAAGGTAGGGCTGTATGTCAGTGTGTTACCAGGACAGAAGGTAGGGCTGTATGTCAGTGTGTTACCAGGACAGAAGGTAGGGCTGTATGTCAGTGTGTTACCAGGACAGAAGGTAGGGCTGTATGTCAGTGTGTTACCAGGACAGAAGGTAGGGCTGTATGTCAGTGTGTCACCAGGACAGAAGGTAGGGCTGTATGTCAGTGTGTCACCAGGACAGAAGGTAGGGCTGTATGTCAGTGTGTTACCAGGACAGAAGGTAGGGCTGTATGTCAGTGTGTTACCAGGACAGAAGGTAGGGCTGTATGTCAGTGTGTTACCAGGACAGAAGGTAGGGCTGTATGTCAGTGTGTCACCAGGACAGAAGGTAGGGCTGTATGTCAGTGTGTTACCAGGACAGAAGGTAGGGCTGTATGTCAGTGTGAACTGTAAATAAGAGGCCTTCCGTCAGTCTGTCAACCAAAACAAGAGTCTATCTGGATAGCAGATCAATCTCTTCTGGCTGAGCTGAAAGACATATGGTCCACAACTATGTCCTGGAGTTGATCATCAGCTATCTGACTATGTCCTGGAGTTGATCATCAATACACCGTATTGTATAATTGAGATCAATGAATAGTATAATTGAGACAGGGAAACTAGAGAAGGTAACTCAGTGGCTTTCTGCCAGACAGTGAAACTAGCTCCAGTCAAAAGCCTGTTCTGCAGTAGATGACAAAGTGAAGCGATGGAAGAGGTCTTTAGTTTGGGTTGACGGCAGAGGGACAGTACTGTACTAGATTGGGTTGACTGCAGAGGGACAGTACTGTACTAGATTGGGTTGACTGCAGAGAGACAGTACTGTACTAGATTGGGTTGACTGCAGAGGGACAGTACTGTACTAGATTGGGTTGACTGCAGAGGGACAGTACTGTACTAGATTGGGTTGACTGCAGAGGGACAGTACTGTACTAGATTGGGTTGACTGCAGAGGGACAGTACTGTACTAGATTGGGTTGACTGCAGGGGGACAGTACTGTACTAGATTGGGTTGACTGCAGAGGGACAGTACTGTACTAGATTGGGTTGACTGCGGGGGGGACAGTACTGTCCTAGATTGGGTTGACTGTAGAGGGACAGTACTGTACTAGATTGGGTTGACTGCAGAGGGACAGTACTGTACTAGATTGGGTTGACTGCGGGGGGGACAGTACTGTCCTAGATTGGGTTGACTGTAGAGGGACAGTACTGTACTAGATTGGGTTGACTGCAGGGGGACAGTACTGTACTAGATTGGGTTGACTGCAGAGGGACAGTACTGTCCTAGATTGGGTTGACTGCAGGGGGACAGTACTGTACTAGATTGGGTTGACTGCGGGGGGGACAGTACTGTCCTAGATTGGGTTGACTGTAGAGGGACAGTACTGTACTAGTTTGGGTTGACTGCAGGGGGACAGTACTGTACTAGATTGGGTTGACTGCAGAGGGACAGTACTGTACTCTTATCCAGAGCGACTTACAGTTAGTGAATACATATATATATATTTTTTTATATTGGCCCCCCGTGGGAATCAAACCCACAACCCTGGCGTTGCAAACGCCATGCTCTATCAACTGAGCTACATCCCTGCCGGCCATTCCCTCCCCTACCCTGGACGACGCTGGGCCAATTGTGCGCCGCCCATGAGTCTCCCGGTCGCGGTCGGCTGCGACAGAGCCTGGATTCGAACCAGGATCTCTAGTGGCACAGTTAGCACTGCGATGCAGCGCCTTAGACCACTGTGCCACTCAGGAATGTTGACCTGGGCACTACTGTTGACCTGGGCCTGTCCACTACTGTTGACCTGGGCCCATTGGACCCAAATGGCACTATATAGGGAATAAGGTGCCATGTGGGTCACAGCCCATTGTGATTCTAGTGTGTCTCCTCACCTGCAGCCTTCTGGAAGGCTGTGATTGCATCCTGGAGGCCGGAGCCTGTCTGCCGGTTGCAGCGCGTGCCGATCTGGGTGTACAGAGCGCCGATGTTGAACAGAATACTGGCCTTCTCCAGAGAGATGTTCTGCTGGCAAACTGGAACGCCTGTGAACGAGTCATACCTGGGAGAGACAGACAGACAGACAGACAGTGGTGAGGTCACCAGGAGAATCATAACACCATGTTGACCCCTGGAGGGAGGGACAGACAGTGGTGAGGTCACCAGGAGAATCATAACACCATGTTGAACCCTGGAAGGACAGACAGACAGACAGACAGACAGACAGACAGACAGTGGTGAGGTCACTAGGAGAATCATAACACCATGTTGACCCCTGGAGGGAGGGACAGACAGACAGACAGTGGTGAGGTCACCAGGAGAATCATAACACCATGTTGACCCCTGGAGGGACAGACAGACAGACAGACAGTGGTGAGGTCTGTATATTCTTTCTAAAGTAGGAGGAAACCTTGTGATAATGCACTTTAAAGCGGCAATATGTAAATTTTTGGGAGACCCGACAAAATTCACACAGAAATGTGAGTTATAGATCTGTCATTGTCATTGAAAGCCAGTCTAAGAAGAGGTAGATCTGTTCTATGTGCGCTATTTCTATGCTTCCTGTTCTTAAGTTTCATTTTTGCGTCTTTTATTTTGGGTTTTGTACACCAGCTTCAAACAGCTGAAAATCCAATATTTGTAGTTATTAAAAATATATTTCACAGCAGTTTAGATGGTCCAATGATTCTCTACACTATACTTCCTTGTTTTGTAAAATAAACTGAAATTAGGCAAACTATTAGAATTTTTGCAACCAGGAAATGGCGGAGCGATTTCTGCATAGTGCATCTTTAAAATAAACTTGAGAACTCTGGTTATCTTATCAGAGATGCAATGTCCTCACACATGGTTACCACGGAGACACAACAGACCAATGGAGCGCGTATCCTCCTCATTCAGATCGGGCTGCTTGGTTCTTCAACATGGAAACAACCATCTACAGTACTAGAATATGAGAGGTGAAGGTACTATAGATACCTGGACCCCTGGGCTGGGTCATACCATGATTGACCGGGTTGTGGAGACAGTGAGGTGGAACGTACCAAGTAAAGAAGACGCCCATCTGGCGGGTAGGGGCGAAGAAGCGGCTCTCCAGTAGAGGCAGGTGGCTGAAATACTTGGCCAGGAGCTCGACGCCGGTGTCATTGCGACCGGGGGTACGGCAGGCCTGTGGGTACGGTGGGGAAAGCAGGTCAAAATACAACAAGACCGTTCTCTCTTATTCTGTATGTACAACAAGACAGGACTCAAGATGTGTGTGGTGGGGGTGCTTCCATAGAGAACCCAGCTTCACCCTGACAATGCAGAATGCTATGAGACCTGTGGTGAATGTACCTGTCTCAGGTCCATCAGGTCAGCAATCTCCTCCTCGAAGCTGGAGCCGTCTTCGCTGTAGTGCTCCAGGATGAAGTCCTGGAAAAAACGCCACAGAACAGAGAAAATACCATCAACACACGGTTATAAAGTCTTGTTAAGTCCTGTTGAAACAAAGTAGTCTCAACCCATCAGAACACCATCCACTGTCCCATAGAGCCAACGACCCATCAAAACACCATCCACTGTCCCATAGAGCCAACGACCCATCAAAACACCATCCACTGTCCTATTGAGCCAACGACCCATCAAAACACCATCCACTGTCCCATAGAGCCAACGACCCATCAGAACACCAGCCACTGTCCTATTGAGCCAACGACCCATCAAAACACCAGCCACTGTCCTATTGAGTCAACGACCCATCAAAACACCATCCACTGTCCCATAGAGCCAACGACCTATCAGAACAACATCCACTGTCCTATTGAGCCAAAGACCCATCAAAACACCATCCACTGTCCTATTGAGCCAACAACCCATCAAAACACCATCCACTGTCCTATTGAGCCAACGACCCATCAAAACACCATCCACTGTTATAGAGCCAACGACCCATCAGAACACCAGCCACTGTCCTATTGAGCCAACAACCCATCAAAACATCATCCACTGTCCTATAGAGCCAACGACCCATCAAAACACCATCCACTGTCCTATTGAGCCAACGACCCATCAAAACACCAGCCACTGTCCTATAGAGCCAACAACCCATCAAAACACCATCCACTGTCCTATTGAGCCAACAACCCATCAAAACACCATCCACTGTCCTATAGAGCCAACAACCCATCAAAACACCATCCACTGTTATAGAGCCAACAACCCATCAAAACACCATCCACTGTCCTATAGAACCAACAACCCATCAAAACACCATCCACTGTCCTATAGAGCCAACGACCCATCAAAACACCATCCACTGTCCCACAGAGCCAACGACCCATCAAAACACCATCCACTGTCCTATAGAACCAACAACCCATCAAAACACCATCCACTGTCCTATAGAACCAACAACCCATCAAAACACCATCCACTGTCCTATTGAGCCAACAACCCATCAAAACACCATCCACTATTATAGAGCCAACAACCCATCAAAACACCATCCACTGTCCTATTGAGCCAACAACCAATCAAAACACCATCCACTGTTATAGAGCCAACAACCCATCAAAACACCATCCACTGTTATAGAGCCAACAACCAATCAAAACACCATCCACTGTTATAGAGCCAACAACCAATCAAAACACCATCCACTGTTATAGAGCCAACAACCCATCAAAACACCATCCACTGTTATAGAGCCAACAACCAATCAAAACACCATCCACTATCCTATTGAGCCAACGACCCATCAAAACACCATCCACTGTCCTATTGAGCCAACAACCCATCAAAACACCATCCACTGTTATAGAGCCAACAACCCATCAAAACACCAGTCCAGGGTGCTTTAACAGGTATGCATCTCTCCCCTCTCTAGAACCAACCAAACCTGAGCCCAACCCAGCGGAAGTGTCTCTCTAGCGTGACGATCCGTGTTGCGTCTCCTGGCTAGAAGCCAGACAGTATGTCACCGACACCTGGTAATTAAAGCTGGTTGATTACAGGCTAGAAAGTAGGGCACACTTAACTTGTCAGACAGATACAGGAAGGTCGGAGTCCCAAACGGCACCTCGTTCCCTAGTGCACTACTTTTGACCAAAGGCCCATTGGGCTCTGGTCAACATAAGGGACCTATATAGGGAATAGGGTGCTATTTGGGACTCATCATCAGTCTATCATCTAGATACTGCCAAACCCTTATCTGTACCTCCCAGGGGTATAAAAGGTGACATCAAGGTATTCCCCACCACCAGTAGGCTTACTGTGCTGTTGTCTTTTCCCTGGTTGATAAAGCCGTGACCTAGTTTACAATAATAAAGCTATTCGCTGAGGGTCAAAACATCAAGGGGGTTATAAACTTGATTCTATTGAACCTAACTAAAATGGTGAACAAATGGTTCACGTCCCAATGGCACTGTATTCCCTTTGGAGTGCACTACTTTTGACCAGGGCCCATATAGTAGTGCATAACATAGGGAATAGGGTGCAATTTGGGACGCACCCTTATATATTGAGTACATACTAGTGAACAAATGGAGAATAGAGATTGATATCAATGAATTGTGAAACAGCTGCTGTAGTGACTGTAGTGTTGGTCTTGGATGAGAGTGCCTGATAAATCGACCTAAATGTCAAAAAAGTGGTGAAATGGTGGTCTGTAATACCTTGAATGACACAGAGAAGTCCATGTCTTTAGTCTCCTTCAGACCCAGAGGGATGACGGGGATGCTGGAGGTCTCTCTGGAAACAGGCAGGAGATACAGTTGACGTTTCATATTTAAAACTGTTCTAGATACGTTGGCACTGGGAACATGCTGTAATGTGTTCCTGGTGAACGGCGAGGCTCGGAGTTTTACACACATAAAACAGCCGTCTTGTTGACGTGATGTAACTGTTAGACAGGGTGGTGGCAGTGTGATGTTAGTGGTCAAAAGTGAGGCTCGGATCTGATATCACACATTAAGGGGTGAATCCTAACTCCCATTGAAGTCACATTTTCACTTAGTCTCCCATTGACATCAATACATAACTAAATTAACATTTGACTTGACTTGAAAGTTTACAGTGGCTTGCGAAAGTATTCACCCCCCTTGGCATTTTTCCTATTTTGTTGCCTTACAACCTGGAATTAAATTTGATTTTTGGGAGGTTTGTATAATTTGATTTACTCAACATGCCTACCACTTTGAACATGCAAAATATTTTTTCTTGTGAAACAAACAAGAAATAAGACCAAAAAACAGAACTTGAGCATGCATAACTATTCACCCCCACAAAGTCAATACTTTGTAGAGCCACCTTTTGCAGCAATTACAGCTGCAAGTCTCTTGGGGTGTGTCTCTATAAGCTTGGCACATCTAGCCACTGGGATTTTTGCCCATTCTTCAAGGCAAAACTGCTCCAGCTCCTTCAAGTTGGTTGGGTTACGCTGGTGTACAGCAATCTTTAAGTCATACCACAGATTCTCAATTGGATTGAGGTCTGGGCTTTGACTAGGCCATTCCAAGACATTTAAATGTTTCCCCTTAAACCACTCGAGTGTTGCTTTAGCAGTATGCTTAGGGTCATGTAGGGATGGTGTTCTCGTGGTGATGAGAGGTGTTGGGTTTGCGCCAGACATAGCGTTTTCCTTGATGGCCAAAAAGCTCAATTTTAGTCTCATCTGACCAGATTACCTACTTCCATTTGTTTGGGGAGTCTCCCACATGCCTTTTGGCGAACACCAAATGTGTTTGCTTATTTGTTTCTTTAAGCAATGGCTTTTTTTCTGGCCACTCTTCCGTAAAGCCCAGCTCTGTGGAGCGTACGGCTTAAAGTGGTCCTATGGACAGATATTCCAATCTCCGCTGTGGAGCTTTGTCGTTCCTTCAGGGTTATCTTTGGTCTCTTTGTTGCCTCTCTGATTAATGCCCTCCTTGCCTGGTCTGTGAGTTTTGGTGGGCGGCCCTCTCTTGGCAGGTTTGTTGTGGTGCCATATTCTTAATAATGGATTTAAATGGTGCTCCGTGGGATGTTCAAAGTTTCTGATATTTTTTTATAACCCAACCCTGATCTGTACTTCTCCACAACTTTGTCCCTGACCTGTTTGGAGAGCTCCTTGGTCTTCATGGTGCCGCTTGCTTGGTGGTGCCCCTTGCTTAGTGGTGTTGCAGACTCTGGGGCCTTTCAGAACAGGTGTAAATATACTGAGATCATGTGACACTTAAAGTCCACCTGTGTGCAATCTAACTAATTATGTGACTTCTGAAGGTAATTGGTTGCACCAGATCTTATTTAGGGGCTTCATAGCAAAGGGGGTGAATACATATGCACGCACCACTTTTCCTGTATTTATTTTTTAGAATGTTTTGAAACAAGTTATTTTTTTCATTTCACTTCACCAATTTGGACTATTTTGTGTATGTCCATTACATTAAATCCAAATAAATATATTTAAATTACAGGTTGTAATGCAACAAAATAGGAAAAACGCCAAGGGAGATTAATACTTTTGCAAGGCACTGTATATTTGCTCTTAACATTGGAGGCCAGAGGGAACACCCTTTGACAACAGTCTCTCTTTTCATACAGACACGCCATCACTGCACCACAATACGTTACAACCCAGGGCAAACATCATGAGGTTTCTGGGTCCACCTTACTCAAACCAACAGGGCCCCCCTTACTCAAACCAACAGGGCCCCCCTTACTCAAACCAACAGGGCCCCCTTTACTCAAACCAACAGGGCCCACCTTACTCAAACCAACAGGGCCCCCCTTACTCAAACCAACAGGGCCCCCCTTACTCAAACCAACAGGGCCCCCCTTACTCAAACCAACAGGGCCCCCCTTACTCAAACCAACAGGGCCCCCCTTACTCAAACCAACAGGGCCCACCTTACTCAAACCAACAGGGCCCACCTTACTCAAACCAACAGGGCCCCCCTTACTCAAACCAACAGGGCCCCCCTTACTCAAACCAACAGGGCCCCCCTTACTCAAACCAACAGGGCCCCCCTTACTCAAACCAACAGGGCCCCCCTTACTCAAACCAACAGGGCCCACCTTACTCAAACCAACAGGGCCCCCCTTACTCAAACCAACAGGGCCCCCCTTACTCAAACCAACAGGGCCCCCCTTACTCAAACCAACAGGGCCCCCCTTACTCAAACCAACAGGGCCCCCCTTACTCAAACCAACAGGGCCCCCCTTACTCAAACCAACAGGGCCCCCCTTACTCAAACCAACAGGGCCCCCCTTACTCAAACCAACAGGGCCCCCCTTACTCAAACCAACAGGGCCCACCTTACTCAAACCAACACCCACTACTCTATATTTAGTAGCTTTGTTTAAATAACTTTGTTTGCATCCCTCCCTATTCCCTATGTAGCACACTAGGTTTTATCAGAGCCCTGAGGGGAATAGGGTCCCATTTGGTCTGTGTCTGCTCTATATACACTGAACAAAACACATAAAACGCAACATGTAAAGTGTTGGTCCCATGTTTCACAAGCTGAAAGAAAAGATCCCCGGAAATGTTCCATACGGACAAAAAAGCTTATGTAAAATTGTGCACAAATTTGTTTACATCCCTGTTAGTGAGCATTTCTCCTTTACCAAGATCATCCATCCACCTAAAAAGGTGTGGCATGTCAAGAAGCTGATTAAACAGAACGATCATTACACAGGTGCACCTTAACATAATGCCACAGATGTCTCAAGTTGAGGGAGCGTGCAACTGGCATGCTGACTACATGAATGTCCTCCAGAGCGGTCGCCAGATAATTGAATGTTAATTTCTCTACCTTAAGCCGCCTCCAACGTCATTTTAGAGAATTTGGCAGTACGTTCAACCGACCTCACAACCGCAGACGACGTGTAACCAAGCAAGGATGTCCCCCCCCCCCCCCCCCCCCCCCCTCCCACGATATGTACAAATTACCTCAATTACCTCGACTAACCTGTACCCCCGCACATTGACTCTGTACCGGTACCCCCTGTAAATAGCCTCGTTATTGTTATTTTATTGTTGCTCTTTTATTTTTTTACTTTAGTTTATTCAGTACATATTTTTCATAACTCTTATTTTTCTTGAAACTGCGTTGTTGGTTAAGGGCTTGTAAGTAAGCATTTCACGGTAAGGTCTACACTTGTTGTATTCGGCGCATGTGACAAATACAATTTGATATCCAGCTACTTCGCACAGCCATTGAAGAGGAGTGGGACAACATTCCACAGGCCACAATCAACAGCCTGATTAACTCTATGTGAAGGAGATGTGTCATGCTGCATGAGGAAAACAGTGGTCACACCAGACACTGACTGGTTTTCTGATCCACGCTCCACTTTTTTAGTTTTTAAAAAAGGTATCTGTGACCAACAAATGCATAAAATGGGCGGCAGGTAGCTTAGTGGTTAAGAGCGTTGTGCCAGTAACCGAAAGGTCGCTGGTTCTAATCCCTGAGCTGACTAGGTGAAAAATCTGTCGATGTGCCCTTGAGCAAGGCACTTAACCCTAATTGCTCCTGTAAGTCGCTCTGGATAAGAGCGTCTGCTAAATGACAAAAAATATATAAAAAAGAATATATATATATTATATATCCTAGTCCTAGTCTGCTGGGGTCTCTATTAGGTCCTAGTCTGCTGGGGGAGGTTGTTGACAGACGCAGACCAGCTACAGCTTCTTATCAGGAAATATCAGCTGACTAAAATAAAGGTCCCGATTAGGAGGGAGAGTTTGTAGAAAATGTCAAACATCCCTTTAGCTTAAAGTGAAACTAGCAAGAGAAGGGTGTGTATACTCCTTCAGAATCCACTCCTAACATAGAAGTATGGTCTCGCTACATATTATCACTGACCAACACACATTCACACAATCTCCAGCTGCTTAAGACAAACTATTTGCTCTGTCAGTCACTACTGGCTCACTAGTGCTGGTTTGATCCAGTACACATCTGTATCCAAACAGATACTGAGCAGTACAGTAGGTCATCCCAGACATAACACTATTCACAGTAAAGACTGCAGTACATTAAAGACTGCAGTACATTAAAGACTGCAGTACATTAAATACTGCAGTACATTAAAGACTGCAGTACATTAAAGACTGCAGTACATTAAAGACTGCAGTACAGTAGGGCTAACCAGCCCAACACAGCTGAGTGCTCTCTGGCTCCAGTCCTAATGAACTAACCAGCCCAACACAGCTGAGTGCTCTCTGGCTCCAGTCCTAATGAACTAACCAGCCCAACACAGCTGAGTGCTCTCTGGCTCCAGCCCTAATGAACTAACCAGCCCAACACAGCTGAGTGCTCTCTGGCTCAAGTCCTAATGAACTAACCAGCCCAACACAGCTGAGTGCTCTCTGGCTCCAGTCCTAATGAACTAACCAGCCCAACACAGCTGAGTGCTCTCTGGCTCAAGTCCTAATGAACTAACCAGCCCAACACAGCTGAGTGCTCTCTGGCTCAAGTCCTAATGAACTAACCAGCCCAACACAGCTGAGTGCTCTCTGGCTCCAGTCCTAATGAACTAACCAGCCCAACACAGCTGAGTGCTCTCTGGCTCCAGTCCTAATGAACTAACCAGCCCAACACAGCTGAGTGCTCTCTGGCTCCAGTCCTAATGAACTAACCAGCCCAACACAGCTGAGTGCTCTCTGGCTCCAGTCCTAATGAACTAACCAGCCCAACACAGCTGAGTGCTCTCTGGCTCCAGCCCTAATGAACTAACCAGCCCAACACAGCTGAGTGCTCTCTGGCTCCAG